AGTTGTCTCTTTTAGATTTTATAGACTGACTTCAGTAAGGAAAGATCTTCAACTTCAGGTGGGGGGATGCTGGAGTGTGACATGACCCTATGGTCTGGTGCCAAGTGTGGGGGGTTTGTGGCAGAACTAGTCTGGAGGTATTGTGAGTTGTTGGCTTAGGCTATTGCAGTCCACTGCATCAACAACTGCATGGTCCTTGGCAAATATTATAGGAGTCCCCAGAGACTTCAGAGGCTGTTGAGGTCTTCAGCATTGTTTCTAGGTTCTAGCCACAAGGGACCAGGGCAAACAGTGGTGTGGCCAGAGCTGGTGTACACACTCTTGGCTGAAGCCAGCAGCAGGTGTGTGTGTAGTGGCAGTGGCCAGTTGTAAACACATATGTAGCGGTGGGGTCCAGGGAAGACATCAACTGCTGAAGCCAGTTGTGGGCACACAGAGAGCTTGGGGAACCTGGCTGTCTGGGTGAACTGCTGTGGCTTCTGGGTTTTGCTACAGGCACACAGCAGTGGAGGCTGGTAATGAGCTAGGGGTATGCAGGTGCACAGTTGGAAGGGCTAGCTACAGGTGAGTGCAGTGGTGCAGGACAGTGACAGAAGACAGGGGCCTCTCTGGGTCTGCAAACACCTGCGGGGATCTAGCTGTTGGCAGTGCTCTTCTATAACTACCTAGTCTCCCTCTGGGCATGCACATGGCAGTAGAAGCTGGTGATGGGTTGAGCTGGAAGCATGCAGGTATACAACTGGAGGGGTTAGCCCTGAATGACCACATGGCAGTGAGTGTTAGCTATGGGGATCTAGACTGGTGTTTTGTACTTGCACACCATAGAGTCTTGGGCTGGCTGCTGGTTTGGTTCTTGGGTTCCAGTGGTGGTGGTGGTAATGTGTGTGTGTGTGTGTGTGGGGGGGTGGGGATTGGGAAGGGATTCAGGCAGCTGGCATCAGCCAATGCAAATACCTGTGTGACAAAACCCAGTGAAATCTGGAGGGTGTTCTCAGTGGCTGTGCTGGCCATTGGTTTCTTCAGTGATGGAAGCTGCTGAGGTCATCTGTGGAGTAGGTCACAGGGAACCATAGTTGACTCTGGCTCTGTGGCTGGTATTGGTAGCACCTGTGCTTCTTCCTTTTTCCTAGCTGTATTTATAGGTGTCAGCTTTACCTGTCTCTGGGTGGGGTGAAACCTAAGTAGATTCTTTATAGAGTGGAGGAAAGGCTGGGTGAGCTGGTTCCTGACCCTACTCTTTTTTTTTTTTTTTTTTACCAGCCAGGGGAACTCTTTCTAGCTGGGGAGTTCCAGTTTGGTGCTAAGTAATGACAGCTTGGGGGATAGGATGGTGCAGGCACAAAGAAGGTTTTCTTCCTTTCATTTTTATGCAGTTGTCCTTAAGTTTTTTATTTCAGTGTGTGGCTGCAGTTTTTAAGTAGAATCTGGAGCCCTACCTGAGTTGTTTTCATTCATGGACAGCTGTTTAGTGGTTGATCTTTGTGGAGAGATGGAAGCTGGGGTCTCCTACTCTGCCATTTTGGTGATGTCCTTAAACTCTTGTCCATATGCTCTGGGATACATGTACAAGCATTTTCATACCAAGTTGTTTTTTTTTTTTGTAATAGCCCCCAAATTGAAGATCCCAAATATTTGTAGAGTGGAGTGGATAAACAAATTGTGGCCTGTTTATGCAATGGAAAATCATACCATAATGAAAATGAAATGGCTACTCATAACACCATTAATTTCTCAAATGTAATATTGATTGAAAGAAGCAAGTCATAAATACAGGGAGTATTTTCATTTGTAAAAAATTAAAAGCTGGGAAAATTTAAACTATGTTGATTAAGGATATTAACAAAGATGGAAAAGATATAAAGATGAGGAAAAAACAGGATAATGGGTTGAAGGAAAGGGTTGTGAATGGGGAGGGACACATAAAGAGCTTCTGGGATATTGGCAATCCCAGGTACCCAGTTGTTGACCTTGAGTGGTGGTTGTGTGGATACTTGCTTTGTAATTATTCATTAAACAGTAAATATATTTTTATGTATGACTCAGTAAATATGCCAAAGTTCATGATTATAAAATAAAACTAAGGGGATTAATTTATATTGAGGCTTTTAAAGAATAAAGCCCAGAAACTATAAAATAAAAAATCAATAGATTTGACTAAGTATAAAAATTCTGTACATTTGAAATAATCCATAAATATTAGTAAGTAATTAATAGACGAGAAGGTATTTGTTACACATTATATACTAGTATTAATTGGCCCCTACAAATGAATAATAAAAAGTCAAACAATTCAGGAGAAAAATGAACAGACATATGAACAGGCATTTCACAGAAGCAGAAATAAAAATGTCCAAAAACAAATGAAATGAAGCTTGACTTGATTAGGGATCATGGAGATGAAAATTAAAATTATGGGAAAAAATACTTTATTTATAAGACATACTTAAGTTAAACATTAATAACAACTAATATTGGTGACCATATGGAGAAAAACTGTCATACTTCATTGGTTTAAATGAAAATTGTTCTCAAATTTATGGAACTCACTACAGTATTATCTATAAAAATAGAAATGTGCATACCTTAACAACGAACACCTTTATTTTTAGGAATTTGTCTCAACAGAGATTCTGGCATGATGTATTAGCAGTTTTAATGGACATATAGTATTCTATTTTATGGTTATGTCATAATTTATAATTCTCCCAGAGATGCTCATATAGATAATTTTTATATTTCTGTTTCTACAAGCAGTAATACTCTTAGTATATTTGTATAAGCAAAACCATGGAAACAACATGCATTTTAGGACTGACTAAATGAATTTTGGTCAATTCATAGCAATGGAATGTTGTGTAGCCTTTAAAAAGAATAACTTTACATAAACTGCTTAGAAACATTTTCCTTGACATTTAAGGGGATAAAGCAAGATAAAAGCATTTTATATACATTTTTGTCCCATTTTTTATAATCCATCTATGTGCATGAATCTTACATGTTAGCTGTTTCTCAGACCTCTTCCAAAGAGGGAAAGGAAAACCTGTCAATTGATAAGTAATATGCATTAGTTGTTAATAATTTTTATCAATTAATAAAATACTGCAGCTTCTATAAAAGAGATAAAAGAGGTCCACATTCCCCCACAATATGCAGCTAAATCTCCCTTTCCCATTTTGGCTACTTCAAAATTACTTCATTGGCCACTTTGGTAACCAGGGGTACTCTTCTCAGGAAGAGGATCTTCACCAGAACATTTCAGTAAGAATAAGAAATGGGGGCACCTGGTTGGCTCAGTCAGTAGCATGCAACTCTTGATTTCGGGGTTGTGAGTTTGAGCCCTACATTGGGTGTAGAGATTACTTAAAAAAATCTTAAAAAAATGAAAGGGGGGAAATTGGAGCAGGAGACGAACCCGCTCCATAGTCCAGACTCCATAGTCCAGACTATGGACTCTGAGAAACAAACTGAGGGTTCTAGAGGGGAGGGGGGTGGGGGGTTGGGTTAGCCTGGTGATGGGTATTAAAGAGGGCACATTCTGCATGGACACTGGGTGTTATGCACAAACAATGAATCATGGAACACTACGTCAGAAACTAATGATGTAATGTATGGTGACTAACATAACATAATAAACGAAAAAAATAAAGAAATGGGTTTCCTGATCTCTTTTATTTTTTGGTTTTCAAATTATTCATAATGAGAATTTGAGGAAGAACAATTGGTTGATTCCTCAAACTATTCCACCTGGTATGGGAGTATAATGTTTCCATCTATACATTCTATGATACTGAGTTGAGATTCCTAAATTAGTGGCATCACAGATGGAGGCCTGTGTTAGTCAGTTTGGGCTGCTATAACAAAATACCACAGATTGGGTGACATACACAACAGAAATTTATTTCTAATGATTCTGAAGGCTGAGAAGTCTGAGATCAGGGTTGCAGCATGGTCAGTTCTTGTAAGAGCCTTCTTCCTGGTTTGCAGATTATCCTCAAATGATGGAAAATAGAGAAAGGAAGTAGCCTCTCTCCTGTCTCTTGTATCTCATGTGCCTAATGATTTAATTACCTCTCAAAGGCCCCGCCTCCAAGTACTATCGTATTGGAGATTAGGGTTTCAACAGACGAATATTGGTCCATAGCAGGGCCTTTTCTCCCTTCTGTGAACTGTACTTTCAAATTGTGACAGAAATAACAGTTGATGTTCTTTGTAATCCTTTACCAAATCCAGGGCATAATTTTAAATCATGTCCTATGCTATTATAAAATTAATCTTAATTTGATATGGTATAATATTTTATTTATTATTATTTATAAGACTAATTATTTGAGAGAGAGTGTGAACGAGGGGCGGGAGGGGCAGAGGGAGAGGGAGAAACAGACCTCCCCTTGAGCAGGGACCCTGATGCAGGGCTTGATCCCAGGATCCCAAGATCATGACCTGAGCTGAAGGCAGTCACTTAACCAACTGAGCCACCCAGGCACCCCTATGTTGCTTTCCTTTTAAGTAGCATTTTAGTTAACCTTTTGGTTATTTGATTCAGGTGGAAAACTTAATCGATTGTTGGATCTTCACATAGACTTTATTGACTTAGCAGCAGCAACCAAAGCAGTTTTCTCTTAGCATCTTAGAGTCCTCTTATATGCAGTGTTATAAGGAGGTCACACATACTGACCTCAATCCAGTTTTGTCACTTACTAGATGCATAGTTTTGATCAAGTTATAGAACCTTTCTAAGGCTCAATTTATTTATTTGAAGATGGTGACAATATCTTTTTTTTGGGTTATTTTGAGGATCAAAAGAATGGTAAAGTAGCATAGTGACATAACGGGACTTTAATAAAATGGTAACTATTTATCATGAGCATTTGTTCCTTGAGTACTGTCTCCTCATTATGTTCACTAGTTCTCACACATATAGCAGTGAGTTATATCAGCATAGAGGTATAATTTTAGCCATTTGTAATACTTTTACATTTTTTCCTTTTTCTTCATGATAGAAACTGCTTATTCACTGATGAAGCGAGTGGATGTCATGTTGAAAATATTTGAAAAACATTCAAATATGTTGGAGAGGTAAGCTTTTAAAATAACTCCTTTTCTTAATTATGAAAATGAGTAGAGATGTATTTTAGAAAAATTGGAAACATAAATAAGACCACTGTTAAAAAACTTTAGTGTTCTTATGTCAATTTTTGTGATATTGTAATTTTAAAATTATAATCATGCAGAATATAAAATTGTATAGCCACAATGGAAAACAGTATGTCAGTTTCTCAAAAAATTAAAAATGTAATTACCATATGATCCAGTAATTTCATTTCTAGTTAGATACCCTGCAAAACTGAAATCAGGGTCTCAAAGACACTTATGTTTACTGTAGCCTTATTTACAATAGCAAAGGGTGGAAGCAACCCAAGTGTCCAAAAACAGAGAAATAGATAAAATGTGATACATACATACAATGGAATATTATTTAGTATTAAAAAGGAAGGAAATTCTGACATAGGGTAGAACATGAATGAACCTTGAGGATATTATGCTGAGTAGAATAAGGCAGTCACAAGAAGACAAAGTTATATGATTTCATTTATATGAGATACCTAGAATAGTCACTGTGGATTACCCACAGTTCTTTCAGGTGACTAAGATTAAATTAGTAAAAAACTTGTATGTTGAAAAAGCATGTCTTGTAGAATGAAATCACAAATCAACTTTTATTTGGACACTTTTGGTTCATTTATATTTGCTAATTGAAGCTTATTTTCCCCCTGCTCCTGGACAAAAACTAGGGTAAATTATGACTTTTTTGATTACTCTCAGATAATAAATAATTTAAATTAATTTAAATTAATTTAGAAGCACTGTCCTAATTGGGAAATTAAAATTCCTGTCAAATATTACAATCAATATTTTAATTTTTATTCTAAGTTAAAATTTCTCTCCTTTTCCTCCTACCTAGTGTACCAGCTGAAAACTGCTAGGGGTTAGGATTGGCTTTTCTCTTTCATTACCTCCTTTCCAACTAACTAGTTGTAGTTTCTGTTCTCCATGTGTTTGGAAAGAGAAGGAATAAAGGTGTAAGATATACAAGAAAAGTCTTACTTGACTGTCACTGGCTTCCTTCTCCATAACTACAGATAACACCAAATTTTCTAAGTATTCTCCTTAAAATGCCTCTCACTAGGCTTGAGATCAGGGCAAGCATATCCTCCTCTCCCTTAAGGGTTTGTATATGGCTCAAGGCACCCAATAGCTCTCTGCAGAGAAATACTCTTTCTAAATCTTCTTTCCTGACCCTTTTTAGACTGTCCATATTAATGAAAGGTTTTAGTGCTCTTTCTTGGCTTCTTGCCTTTTTTTTAAGTGCTAATGGTCATCTGCCTCACCTATTACTTTGGCATGTGATACTGGGAACTTAGGGTTTCCACTGATGCCTCCTTATACAACTTGTTACAGTTATATCCTTGAAAATTCTGTTAAAATAAAGATAGGGTGTGACAAAAGGCTTAGTGCCGTTTTAAGATTTAATAACCTCAGAACTAGGAGGGAGGGAAGATGGTGGAAGAGTAGGGCACCTGCATTTCATCTGGTACCTTGAATTAGCTAGATAACTATCAAATCATTCTGAGTACCTGTGAACTCAACCTGAGATGTAAGAAAAGGATTGCTGCAATTCTACAAATAGAAAATTGACCACTTTTTTCAAGTTAGTAGGTGTGGAGATGTGATTCTGAGGGGATATATTGGAAGATAAATCATGGGGGGAGGGAGCCTCTGTCAGCGGGCTACCAGAAAGTGATATAGCAGTGGAGCACAAAATCAGAACTTTTAGAAGTCTGCTCCTGTGAGGAATGACCCTGCCTGAAAGGTGTTCAGGTGGTGAAGTGGGGGGGAATCCTAGGTGGGACAGTGTGGTCTCAGGATCCCCAGGGTCTCATAAAGAAAGGGGGCCTAAATGTGGCAGAGTTTCCAAGCATTGGGGCAGGGAAGCCGGCTACAGTTATTGAGCCCCCGAGTGGCCTCTCAGCTAGATGTTGCCATAAACTGCGAACCACAGCACAGTTGGTGACTACTGTCAGAGTAGGGGCCCAGCAAGTGAAAACCACTGTGAAATCCAGCTCCTCCCCGCCGCAGGAGCAGTGGGAGTGCATGCACAATTGGGCAAATGCTCCCTGAGAAGGGGCCCAGCAAGCAGCAGGGTGGGGGTGAGATACCCCTGCCTTCCCTGGGAGGATTGGTGTGGGTGTGCACCACAGGAGTCTGGGGAGTTTGGCCCACATGAAAGGGATTGACTGCCTTTCCCTGAGGGTGCACTGAGGAGTGGGGGCCAGGTCCTTTCAGCTCCAGGTCTGGAGATTGGGGCACCACCATTTTTTTTTACTTTTTTTTTCATCCTCTAAAGTGGTACAAAAAGCCTTCAGGGAACAAAAGCCACATAGTACAACCCAAAGCAGCATACACTGAGCCCAGGCCCCTGGCAAGGGGCAGTGCAACTCTGCCCAGGCAAAGACACCTGAGAATCAGTGCAACAGGCCCCTGCCCCAGAAGACCAGCAGGATCCTCAGGCAAATACCAAGTTTAAAATTCCTGTGCTAGGGGAAAATAATATAAAGAATTGGAGGTTTTTTCACATGAGTCTTTAGTCTTTCGGTTTAAAATTTTTCTTTTCCTTTTCAACTAGTTTCTTATTTTATCAACTCTTTGTTTTTAAGTCTTTTTTTAATTTTCATTTTTACATTTACATTTTATAGATATATTCGTTTTTGGCTTCTGTTCACTGTATTCAATTTTATTTTTGTATGTATATATAAATTTTGCTTTCTTTACAATTTTGGGATTTAGTGTCTTCTAACAGACCAAAATATACCCAGAACCAAGTGGATTACACTGTTTTGTCCACCTGTGAGATTATATTCTCTTTTCTCCCTTTTTTTCCTTTTCTTTTTTGGTTTCTGATCTCTTGGATTTGTCTAGTGTGTACTTCTCTTGGGTCGTGGTTGATATTTTTGATTTTGTTCTCTCATTCATCTATTTCTGCTCTGGGCAAAATGACTAGAAGGAGGAATTCCTAACAAAACAAAGAACCAGAGGTAATACTCTCTGCCACAAATCTAATCGATATGGATATAAGTAAACTGTCAGACCCGGAATTCAGGATAATGATTCTAAAGTTACTACCTTGAAAAAAGCATAAAAGACACCAGAGAATCTCTTAGTGCAGAAATAAAATCTAATCAGGCCAAAATTAGCATAAAAGACACCAGAGAATCTCTTAGTGCAGAAATAAAATCTAATCAGGCTGAAATTAAAAATAGTTTAACTGATATGCAGTCTAAAATGGATGTTCTAACAGCTAGGGTAAATGAAGCAGAAGAGAGACTCAGTGACAGAGAAGACAAGTTGATGGAAAGGAAGAAGCTGAGGAAAAGAGAGGAAAACAACTAATAGACCATGAGGGGAGGCTTCGAGAAATCGGCAATACCATAAAGCAAAATAATTATTGGGGTCCCAGAGGAAGAAGAAAGAGAGAGACAGAAGGTATATTTGAGCAAATCATAGCTGAGAACTTCCCTAATTTGGGGAAGGAAACAGGTATTCAAGTCCAGGAAGTAGAGAGAACCCCCTCAAAATCAATAAAAATAGTTTAAGACGCTGACATAAAATATTGAAGCTTGCATATTTCAGAGATAAAGAGAAAATCCTGAAAGCAGCTCAAGAGAAGAACTCTTTAACCTATAGGGGTAGGAACTGGCAGCAGACCTGTCCACAGAGACCTGGCAGGCCAGAAAGGGCTGGCATGATATATTCAGAGTACTAAATGAGAAAAACATACAGCCAAGAATACTTTATCCAGTGTCTATCATTCAGAATGGAAGGAGAGATAAAGAGCGTCCAGGAGAAACAGAAGCTAAAAGAATTTGTGATCACTAAACCAGACCTATGGAGAAATATTAAGGGAGGTCCTGTAAGTGAAGAGAGAGTCCGAGAGTAACAGTAACCAGGAAGAAACAGAGATAATCTATAGAAACAGGGACTTTACAGGTAATGCAATAGCACTAAATTCATATCTTTCAATAGTTACTCTGAATGTAAATGGGCTAAATGCTCCAATTAAAAGACACAGGGTATCAGACTGGATAAGCAAGACCTACCTATATGCTGTCCACAAGAGACTCATTTGAGACCTAAAGACACCTCCAGATTGAAAGTGAGGGGGTAGAAAAATCATTTATCATGCTAATGGACATCAAAAGAGAGTTGGGGTGGCAATCCTTATATCGGACAAATTAGATTTTAAACCAAAGACTGTAATAAGAGATGACACTATGACACTATGATATAATGTCATAATTAAAGGGTCTATCCTACAAGAATCTAACAATTATAAATATTTATGTTCTTTAACTTGGAAGCAGCCAATTATATAAACCAATTAATAATAAAATTAAAGAAAAACATAGATAATAATACAATAATACTAGGGGACTTCACCCCACTCACAGCAACAAGGGCTTTGAATGACACCCTGGAAGAACAACAAGGAAACAAGGGCTTTGAATGACACCCTGGGCCAGATGGACTTCACAGATATATACAGAGCATTCCATCCTAAAACAGCAGAATTCACATTCTTCTTGAGTGGACATGGAACATTCCCCAGAATAGATCACATCCTAGGTCACAAATCAGGTCTTAGCTGATACCAAAAGATTGGGATTATTCCCTGCATATTTTCAGACCACAATGCATTGAAACTTGAACTCAATCACAAGAGGAAATTTGGAAGGAACTCAAACATTTGGAGACTAAAGAGCATCCTACTAATGAATGAATGGGTTAATGAGGAAATTAAAGAAGAATTACAAAAATTCAAGGAAAGAAATGAAAGTGAAAACACAACTGTTCAAAACCTTTGGGATACAGCAAAGAAGGTCCTAAGAGGAAGTAAATAGCAATACAAACGTTTCTCAAAGAATTGGAAAGCACTTAAATGCACAAGCTAAACTTACACCTAAAGGAGCTTGAGAAAGAACAGCAAATAGAGCCTAAACCAAGCAGATGGAGAGAAATAA